GGAGTGGAGAGAGGGGGGGGGGGGGGGGGGGGGGGAAGAGGGGTCCAATGTTAACATTTAATAGCCAGGCCTCTTGCTTTTTCCTTTTTTTTTTCCTTTCCTTTTTTACGTCTTACAATATGTAAAAAGCAAATATTCAGTTAAAAATGAAGGTACTGTTTTCCAACTCCCTAACCACCAGTTACTGCTATGTTTACTGATAACAAAGCCTGCCAACATAACAAAGTACTAATACTGTAAGACTGCATGTGAGCCTCTGCTTGAAGCGAGAGGCATTAAAGATGTTTTATTAAAGCAGACAAAAAGTACGTCTTACAATATGTAAAAAGCAAATATTCAGTTAAAAATGAAGGTACTGTTTTCCAACTCCCTAACCACCAGTTACTGCTATGTTTACTGATAACAAAGCCTGCCAACATAACAAAGTACTAATACTGTAAGACTGCATGTGAGCCTCTGCTTGAAGCGAGAGGCATTAAAGATGTTTTATTAAAGCAGACAAAAAGTATTTTGCCATAAGAAATACAGGATCTACAATAAACCAAAAGTTTTTCTACTCTACAAGTCAGCAAAAACTAAGCATGTTTCTTCAAAAACAAAGGAGAAATTATGGTTATAACTGTGTAATTTTTGTAAATACAAACCTTCCAGCTGGCAGTGCAATGCCAATCCCCATTTTCACTTTTGTCCCAGACCTATTGAGAAATCAAAATACAATCATACAATTTGTATGTAAAGCTTACTAAGTAGTACTAAAAAACACAGCCGTTAAAAAAAAATATATACACACACCACTAAACATTTTCATCTGGAAAACTCTACCTGGCTCAGTACACAACTGCACTTCACTTGACCTTGAAAATATCCCTACTACAGGTAGGGAGAAGAGGCATACACCTGCAAAATCTGCTATTGTATGAAGTCTGTCTTTTTTTAAACACTAAATTATTCATAGAAGACAAGTTATTACAATTCTCAACACTTCATTCACTCTGTTCCATGAGTACACTACTCAGTTTCACTCTGCAGCCCCCACGGTCCTCGCCAAGGCACGTGCTCAGATCTGGTCGCAAAACCCTGAGGTGGCTCCTGGCAATCATCCCAAAGACAGCAGGACAGCAAAAAGAAAATCGAGCCAGTGGGGGAACAGGTCTTGTTTCTGTTTCTAATATTTCTGCCTTGATTTATAACCACATGCATGTCACTTAACCTTCCTTCCTCTTGATTTCCTATACATCCTTATGACCTTTTTTCCCCTGAAAAATTGTGAAGGAAGTCATGAATGTAACCAGATGAAAGACACCTCTAGAAGCCTGGCATCCACTCCTGCTTGTCACGCACTCGCTGTGTAACTTTACTGAAAGTCACCTCGCTTTTGCCATTCTGGATCTCTAACACAACCTTGGTTGTTATCGCCACAGCCCAACTTCGTAACTTCTCCCCAACCGCTATTCTGCACGGCCCACCTAGGGAGAGTGGGACCTACGCCAGATACACCACTGCTGTTTTACACGTGTTGTAGAACTCCGGTTAGAGTAAAACTTCTTAAGACAGTCTCATAAAGGATGCTGTTACGATTGGAAAGCAACGTTACATTTGCTAAAGAACATAGGTTCTGAGTTCTGCCTACCTCTTGGCATCTTTCTTAAGAACATTCTTTTTAGGCTGCAAGTTTTACATAGTCAGTCCAGACCAGAGACTGACATGGTTTGGGCTTCCTTTTTGGGGGACTTCTTTTTTATTGTTGTTGTTGTTGAGGTTTTTTTGTTTGCTTTTTAGTATGTGGTCAGGGAGAAGGGGCTGCTCGCTTGCTTTTAAGCCTGGTCTACATTTGGCACAGCTTTCTATGGAAAAGCAATTTTCTCAACCGTTTACCTGGCCTAACAAAAGATATGACTGCTCTCTGCAAATTACATTTCTTACATCTAACCACGTAACTCCTGAATTTTTGTCCATCTCACTATGCGCAAAAAATGGAAAAAGCAATTAACTTTTCATTTACCATTATTTTATTTCCTCTAACAGAACGTAAAATTAAGGTTTCTAGTATTTTACAGTTTCCCTAATCTGCCAGAGCGCATGCAGAACATTTCAGCCTTTTTCTTGTTGGCACTTCATTATGAAACAGTAGCTTCTTCCCTTAGCGCCCTTAAATAAATATGGATTTTCAGCTGAATCAACAAAACAAGCAGCACTGCTGTAGCCACAACAGTTTAAGGATGTTTTCCCAGCTGCAGCAACGAGTCGGAAAGAAGTTGTATTTTTATGTGCGTTTGCGTACACGCGCATAGACAAACAACGTGCGTTATCTATGAACGCATCCTGGCTCCGCAGCCC